CCCTCTCTTCTCTTTCTCTCCCCCCTACCCCTCTCATTCTCTTTCAGTGTGTGAAATCCAGGGCCTCGTCTATGTTAGGCTCAATGTGCCACTGAGCTTCACCCTCAGCCCAGTGCCATTTGGTTTTATATTCCCAGCTGTACTAACACAATAATCCACATATCGTCAGTAGGCAAAATTTACTAAATTGAAGTACACAAACGAAGTAATGCAGGCTTGCCTCCATGCATAGAAACCTACAGCTTTAATTGCGTGCACATGAAGCTGTATTAAGATGGGAAGAAAATGATCAGAAAACAAAATAGATTAAACAAAAAATTGAGGGTTTTTTTTCACTTGGTTTTCTATGGAAAAATTTCAGAAAAAAATCGGGCTGGGGATTTAGTTCAGTGGTTCTGGCGCCTTCCTCGCAAGCACAAGGTCCCAAGTTCGATCCCCGGTACCAACAAAACAAAATCCCAAAAAATCGACTTGACACTGTGGAGGATTCTATGTGGGGGCACTCCACAAGCCAATCAGAATCTCTAATCTTTTGTGATATTATCAATGGTTCTTTCTGAAGTTTTTGCAACCTTTTCAAAATCTGGAAGAAACAATGTGGTCGATTTCTTTAATTTAGAAGTGTAGCTCCATTTGTAGTAGCGAAAACCTTTTTAAAAGAAATAACTGAGTGGACATAGTTTCCATGTCGGATTGACTTTGGTAACACGCATCTACTGAAAGAAAGGCGGTATACGATGACAACTAGACCGCGGTCACCAGGGCAACGGGGGCGGGGACTTCTTGCTCCCTGCCCTAGTTTGGGAAGCTCAGCGAGAACGCGCGAAAAGATTTGGTTTGTTGGCCGCGCCGTAGATCGCGGAGCATGCTGGGGCTCGGCAATATGGCGTCCTCCTTGATGTGCTGATGAGAGGAGTTTCACTGTACCTCCCAACCAAAGGGCAAAACTCCCCTGACCCAATAAGACCACATTACCCGTTTTCTCCCCGCGTCCGTGTCGCCCATTCCTCGGGACTTGTTCTCAAGCAGGAGGGAGCTACGGGGCCAAAGGCCAGGGCCAGCGAGGCCGCGCGGAGCCGGGGTTGAGGAACCGGCTGCGGGTGAGCACGATGGGCTGGTCCTGGCTCTGGTTGCAGCAGCTGAGGCGAGTGCGGGACCCGCAGGGCTGAGCGTGGCTCGACGAGACCGAGGCGCTCTGACTCTGTTCCCCTTGGCCGGAGACCTCAGTCCAGACGGCGCAGGCGGCGAATCAGCACCAGAGCGGACGGCCGGACCGTCCTCGGATCTGCTCAGGCGTTGGAGGCCGAGCAGGGTCATCGTGAGGCCCGAAGTCTCTCACGCCTTTCACAGCTCCCCTCGCAGCCCTGCTGAGAACCAACAGGCTCAGAAGCTGACAGTGGCTGGGGATCTGAGTGTGCGTGTGTCTGTGCAGAGCTCCCTGGGCTGCCCCATTTCCCATCCGCCCCCCCCCCCTTGACTTCCCGCGCAGAGTTAAGAGATAAGAATCTCCGAACACTTCATCCATTACTTTTCTGGCTCTCCCTTTTTTTCTATATTTTATTTCATTAATTCTGGTACACACTAGTTTTTAAGGCTGGAGGTTCTCGAGCGCTTACTGCCAAGGACTCCTCCCCCCCCTCCCCCCCTGATGGAGTCCGAGATGCTGCAGTCGCCCCTTTTGGGACTCGGGGAGGAAGATGAGGCCGACCTTACAGACTGGAATCTGCCTTTGGCATTTATGAAAAAGAGACACTGTGAGAAAATTGAAGGCTCCAAATCCCTAGCTCAGAGCTGGAGGATGAAGGATCGGGTAAGTGAATTCCCACGGCATCCCTGGGACTTGTCGTTTTTCCAGTGAAGAAAGTTCTGAGCCAAAGAGTCCTTGGGAAAGCATCAGTGCTCGGCCACATGTTAATCATCTAAAAAGTAAACACCGTTTCAGACTCCAGTTTTTGGTTGAAAATGGAAAAAACTGTTTTGAGTAGCTGTTATTCACTGGCTACTGTTAATTCAAATGAAGTTTTAATTCAGCCCAAAGTTAAGTAAATTCGAAAATACGGCATTGCAAGTGTTGACACGCTTTTTGATACACTTAGTGCTGTTAACACTTGGAGGAAAGACAACTTGGGGAATAATACTTGTATCTGTGTGGTTAGTCTGCTTTTGTGGTTAGTCTAGCTTTTTTTAATGTTTTAAAAAATAGGCTGGGTGAAATGTAGAAGTCTGATATACTATGCTAAGAAACAAGATTACTGGAAAATGTTCAGCAAAGTTATTTTAAAGTTACAGTGCACTTCATCCTAGTCCTCCGAACAGTTTGTCTCATAGTCAGATTTCCTTTTATGTGGTTCTTGTTGCTGTGATTTTGATACAGAATTTCTTTTATGGAAATTAGGGAGCCGGGGGGATGATGGGTTGGAACTTGGTCCATGTCTTTTTGGGGGGGATGTCACATGGTGTTGGAGTTTGGACAGTTACTCACAAGCAACTGGTAGGAAAGAAAACAGCCAATTTGGTTGACCCTGCCCTTTGTCAACCATATCTATTTTCTGGTCTCCAGAGCACATATGCAGACATAATTTCTCTTAATGTGGTTTGTTTTCTTCCAGGCTGCTTTCATTTGTGTGAGTGGTATAAAAGGGAAAATTGGTGTTACAGTGTGTGATTTACTCTAGGCTGTATGTTTATAGATTATTGTTTTTTAGTACATGATGTCGAACATTTATGGTAATGCTAGCCAGTCAGTCACTAGAAACCAGTATTTCAGTTCTTCATTTGGTTTATTTTTAAAAGATTAGGAAAATTTGTATCATCTAAAAGCAGTTTAAGGAGTAAAATTGGTCAGTGGAAGAGGTTGTATAAAATCTGCCTTACGGATATCTTTAGTAGTAATTATATGGTTAAAATCCTTTGTAATCGCTATGCATAAGAAAAGTATTTTAAAGTAACTTTTAATTTTTTTTTTCATTCTATTTGGAGGCCTTTTTTTTTTTTTGGTACTGGGAATTGAACCAATGAGATATCCCTAGCCCTTTAAAATTTTTTTATTTTGAAACAAGGTCTTCTTGAGTCATTAAATTGCCCAGGATGGGTTTAAACTTGCAATCTTCTTGCCTCAGCCTTCTAGAATGCTGGTATTACAGATATGTGCCACCAGATGTAGCTTAGGTTGTTCTTTTGAAATGTGGTTCCTTCTGCTACCATAAACCTATTATTAAACTGTTCAAAGCAGATTAATGGAGTTTTTTTTTTTTTTTGACAATGCTGGGGATCAAACCCAGCGCCTTGCACATGCTACGCTAGCACTCTTGTCACTGAGCTTTATCTCCAGCCCATTGGATATATATTTGACCTTTTAACTTGAACATTAATTTATGAATGATGAAGATCTCCAAATAAGCTCTTCTCAGGTTAGTAATAACAACAAATTGTATTAATCGTTTTTTGTTTTTTTTTTTTTTGGTACCGGGGATCGAACTCGGGTCCTTGTGCTTGCGCAGCAGGTGGCGAAACCACTGAGCTAAATCCCCGGCCCTGTATGAATCTTTGTAGATATTGAGACTACTATTTTGAAAAGGGCAGAGGGAAAGTTTGCTTTCTCTACCTTTTGCAAGTTGTTCAATGAAGAACATCAGCAGCTAACATTTTTAGCTAAGTTAAAGAGTCCTTGTAGTCTTTTTTCTCAGGTAGACCATTAGGGGGCCTTTTCAACATACCCTGTTAAGATAATGGTTGCAAATTCAAATGATGAAGAATTGGAAGGTAGCATGAACAAATGGAACAGGCTTAAGAGTTATAGCACAGATTCAGTGGCAAATGGCAGCAGACAAATGTATGACTCAGTGTCTGGTAGATTTTCTGGAAGAGTCAGTGAGACTTTGGGGCATACATGCCACAGCTAAAGAGACAGCTGGGTCTTGGTCTGTTTTTTCAAGAAGCAGAAAACTTTTTCTTTTTTTTTTAAAAACAATGAAGTCTTCCAGTTTTAAAATCTTGGTGCTAATTCAGATACTATAAAATACAAAGCAGTCTAACATTGCAGGCAAAAGAAACTCCATTTGTGAGACAGTTTTGGGCCAACAGGTTATCCTTTTGGTCTGCCATTGCAGTTATAGGCAGCTGCTCCAACACTGGTCTTGAGCAGCCAGGTGTCCTGGCCAACCTGTCCCACTGTGCTGGGTTGTGGCAACCTGATGGAGCAGCAGCATCTTTGTAAAGTAGCATCTGTGGGCCTGCTCTACAAGGAGCCAAACCTACCACTTCCTGGAGGTCATTTACTATCCTGTGTGCAAGCTCAGTTCTTGCTTCTCCCAGAATGTTATGCAATTCCATATACGTTTATTTTATATGTATTAATGGTTACTTGTTGGTATTTTATTTAGTGGCCTTGTTACAGATTACTAAAACTGATATCTTCACCAACGTTGACTTGCAACTCCAAGAGGTTTTTCTGTCCCTCAGTATTTGCCATCCTTTCAGTTATAGTACTTGTCCACTCTCAGTTGGGATTTGTATAGCCTTTGTTTTGAATCAGTTCTGGTTTTCAAATGCCACAATTACCACATCTTAATTACTCTTTACATTTCAACAGTTACTAGCTTGGGCCAGGGATTTAGCTCAGTGGTTCCACTGCCTGCCTCACAAGTGGAAGGTCCCAAGTTCGATCGCTGGTACCAAAAACAAAACAAAACAAAAAACCCCACAAACAAACAAAAACAATTGTTAGCTTAATATTGTTATTGTCAAATAAGTTTGTTATTTGGTTTATTCTTTGTATAGTGAATGATGCATACATGTATCAATAGTATTTTTGGCTTGTAATTTTCAAATAATTAGATATATATGAATTACAGTTCAAAAAGAATCATTCATGGACCTATGCCTAAACACAGGTATATATCTCTCCCAATTGTGTTTTACTGTGATACTCTGCAGTTATTACAGAGTTATTTTTCTCACTGGAAAGTGAGCAGGTGGGGATAATTGGTCTCTGATGCATCTCTTACCTGGAATATGTGGGATGGAATCAGGTAATGGCTTGACAGTCATTGTGGTGAAAGAAACCATTACCAGACATGCTATAGCTATGTGCATTTAGGTCCATCAGTAAACATACTTCCTACATGTATGTTGAGGGCCATTCTCAGACATGTTATATGTACACGTTTAGCATCTTGGCAGAAATGGTCTGTCTGTGTGTGTAGGAGATGTAACTATAAATTGAAGAAGTCTGTTTCTTAAATCAGTCTCTAGGTTCAGTTGCATTGCTTTGTAGACATACTTGTTTGAATAAGCTGTGGAGAAAGAGATACATTAAGCTAAGACTTGGACAGTAAAGTGTTCAGGGTGTCTTTTGAACCAAGATAGTGATATTTGTAGTCCTTTGCTAATCCCCTCTGATTCCTCAGCATTTTCTCCTCGGCTCCTGCAGTTAGACTCTGTTGTAGTCCATGGAGACTGCTTTTGATGTGGCCATCATTTGTTGCTGAATCTAAAGGTCCCTCCTCTGTCCTTAACCTGTTTGACCGCTCAGCAGCATTCCACACACAGGTGATCACTCTTATCTTTTCTCACTTGCCCCTGTGTTTACATCAAACTGTGGATTTTCTTCTTGGTCCCTGATGTCTCTTCCTCAGACTCCTTTGCTGGTTGGCACCTAAGTAGGGGGTGCCCGGGGACTTGGCCTGTTCTGAGGAGCTGATCTCATCAAGGCCCATGGTTTCAAATGCCCTCAACATGCCAGTGATCCTCACCCCAGTCTTTAGTCCTGACTACCTTGATGCTCCTGTCCCAGGTGCCTTGTTCCCTGCTTTACGTTAGTTTTCCCCATCACAGTGGAGTGCAACCACCATCCGCTGTTACTGAAGCTGCAAATCCAGAGTTTATCCATAATTCTTTCCTCTCCTGTTGCCCTGTCCAATTTTATCCGTAAAACCTATCAACTTTACCTCCAAAGCATATCTTTTATTGGATGGTTTAATTTTGTGCTGCCATGGTGATTTCATTGTAGGCAGGCTCCATCTCTTGTTTGAATGACTGCAGCCGTGTTCTGACTAGTGTCCCTACATCCATGCTTGTCCTACAACTGATTATTCACATGGTGGTTAAGGGATGTTTTAAAGGTGTAAATCAGATTCTCTTACTTCCTTACTGGTCCTCTCCACTGGCTTCCCAAGGCTTGGAATAGAATGCAAGCTCCTCTCCTGGCTTGTAATGCCTTCATGCCTGGTGCCTGCCTGCCTTTTCTGTTTTTTGGATAGTAACATGTGGAACACACTTCCCTCTAATCTTTGTTTTTTGGGGTTTTTTTTGGTACCGGGGATCGAACTCAGGTCCTTGTGCTTGCGCAGCAGGGGGTGCAACCACTGAGCTAAATCCCCGGCCCTCCCTCTAATCTTTGCACACTTGGTTCCTCCTCATCATACTCAGATCTTAGTCACTTCCTGAGGCCTCCCTGGTCACCCATCTGAAGCAGCCAACCAGGCAGTCAGGACCACCTGTGATCACTCTGTATTTCTCTGATATTTTTTCCATATTCTCTTGCCCAGATAAAAGCAAGCTTTTTATCATAAAGTGAGGATTTAATTATTCTACTTCACAGTACAGTGTTTGGTCCATGCTAGGGATTAAACAAGAATGTACCTGTGACAGAGTAAATCATTTACAGAGAACTCCCACATAGGTTACCTCTCTCTAGGCTTAGTAGCATGGTAAATTGCTTAGGGATCATTATCTCTGTGTTACTGATGGAGAAACTGAGACTTTAATTGGCTTGCTTGAAGTTATATAAGTTACAGGTTAGCAATGAGA